TATGTGTTTAATATGTAGGTTAAATATGTATTTTAAAGTGTGTCTGCTGGTCGTTAGGTCTGGGTGTGTGTGCATGACGGTCCAGCAGGTGATGGAAACCAAATGAGCAGTTTCTTTCACCTGATGCTGCTGTTCACCTAACCGTGAATAGGTATACCTGAGAGTTAGTATTACTATAATTACGCTCGTAGTATACCACGAGGGTGGTAACATACACACATACACTGGCAGTAGTTGAGTCATTGACTCCACAAAGGTAAACAATGCAGTTAGGCATCGTCAAGAACTCCGAGAAGTGATGTGAATAGCGGAAGAGCAAGCGAATATAATGTGAAGTGGTGGATAGCGAGACAAGCCGCGAGGATTGTGGAGTGGTGACGGGGTCTGTGGCCACACTGGCGGTGATATAGCGAGGTCTGGTACACGAGGCGGTGACGGGGTCTGTGGCCAGGCTGGCGGTGATATAGCGAGGTCTGGTACACGAGGCGGTGACGGGGTCTGTGGCCACACTGGCGGTGATATAGCGAGGTCTGGTACACGAGGCGGTGACGGGGTCTGTGGCCAGGCTGGCGGTGATATACCGAGGTCTGGTACACGAGGCGGGAAGACAGATGTCACCAGTGGCAACATGATCACCTGGAATACACAGGTTGATGCGTGGCGAGGTGGGGGGAGGGGGGAAGGTGAAATAACAGGAGAGGTTCGTGTGGTAAAGTTATATTGTGAAGACGCGCATGGTGCTGGGCGATCCATGGCTCCCAGTACCGCTCCGGGTCCACCACCTGCACTCCCACGCCACATAGTGACCGCCGCCCTACCAATGCCTATCTGCGTTTTATGCTGGGAGGGGTCAGCCGTCATAAGAATTTAGTGCAAGCCTTATTTAGCATGTTGCACCTGTTGGGTTGATAGTGTGTATAGGGGAACAGCTGGGTGAGAAAGATGTGGGTGGAACAGTGAAGACTGACGTGGCCAGTGGCGGAAAAGTTGTGTGTGTGGGGGGGGGGGGGGAGAAATACCCACTCAGAAAATGAAAATTCCCAACTGGAAAATGTTCATGTCATTAGAGGAGCGTATGAATGAGAAGTAAAGGAATATAATTATCATAATAGACCTTAACACGTGGATGAAAGTACTAAAATGAAAGTACTTATAACTATGAGGTCGAAAGTACCAATATATCGTGAGGGGAATCACCAAAAAATAGATTATATTATTGAAGTTGGACAAACCGGATTTTTTTTTTTGTAGCAACATAGATATAAGATCTAACCTAACCTCTTCTAACAATCTTAGGCCTAATATTGTACACATCTATACTATACTAGGCCTAGAAATATTAGTATTTTTTTCCGGACTATAAAAAATAAGTGATTTACTGGAGTTCCATTAATATACATATAGGGTACTCTCGACCCAATAGTTACATAGAGTACTATCATTTCACGACAGTTTTTTTTATTAACACATTTAGGTACAATTGTGCGGCTGCCCTAGACTATATGAAGGGGAGTACAGTGTGTGTCAAAAAACTAGCTACCTGATGCTAAAAACCCAATTCACATAGGATGGTTAGTCATGCAGGGCCATGTGAGCAGTAGTCTGCACTGGCAGACTCTGGGTGCATTATGAGGATATTATAATGAATACGAGAGTGAATAAAGTAATTACAAAGCTCCAGGTACCTCATGCCAACTGGTCTGAAAGGTCTAATAACTGGGCATTCAGTGATGTAGTGCGGGAGATCATGCCGCAGTTCCTGCTCACAGAGTTTGCACCTGGAGTGCTCAGGATTGGGAGATCCGTCACCTGTAGCCACCTGCCACAGGTAACGGTAACCCAACCTGATCCTGGCAACCACTGTGTCGGGCTGCCCAAACAGCTCACAAACTCTACGGGAATTGCCCGCACATTCCATTTACTATTGTAATGTTAAACAAATATATTATTTGCGCAAGTTCTCTATCTCCCCCTCCCTGGAATCACACGGGTTTCTAAGGCTCCCCTCTTTTCTTTCCTTACTTTTGGAAGCGAGGGTTCAGAGACCTCTCTCTCTCTCTCTCTCCATCATTCCCTCTCCCACTCGCCTGTGAGCTGCACTACCTGCAGCCCCCGTCCCCTCATTATCTTATTCGCAGGTTGCGTTCCTGCCTGTTCCCGCGGGCTCTCACGGCCTGCCTCCTCCATACTCCTCACTCCCACCAACTATAAGTTACTCCAACAGAACACAGATAGACAGGCTCGTTAAATTAGGCTGTGCCATCACTACAACACTTGTCATTGTCAACGCAAAACCCACAACATTAACAATATACACCGGGGCATAACCCGCCCACACACCCACCCACAGTCCATACAACCGCCCACACACCCACCCACAGTCCATACAACCGCCCACACCCACAGTCCATACAACCGCCCACACTGTGCCTCTGTCAGCCTGTACTTCACACCTACTGACCGACTATAACTTCTCCTCAGACTCTCACATACATCTCACAAACGTCTACGGACGAGGAGGAGGAAGAGGAGGCTATTTAAATCATAAAAGCCCATTTGCTTTCTTAATCCATAAGTATTAACACCTCACCGTACGTATTAATAATTATACAAGTCGTCCAGCAAACGTATGATTCACCCATAAGTAACATTATATCATCTCTCTCTACATCTCGGATATTTCACCCATTCTTAATATTATATCAGTCAGGATACACCGTAAATTCGCATGTTTTAAAAGAGTTTTTTTTTTAATAATTACATAAGGTAGGAAGTAATTTAGCACAAACATATTCAACATCATGTTACAAAATGCATGCACACTTATACAAACTCGCAGATATTTGCAACACTTGTTTCATAAAACGCATTCACACTTGCACAAACGCACAAATATACAACACTAAGTCACAAAAAAAAAACATTTGCACAATACGAAAACACTTTCAAAAAAATGTGTACATTATATATATATATATATATATATATATATATATATATATATATATATATATATTCGGTTGCATATAGTCCTAGGGACCATTCAGGCTTGTTCGCATACTATATAGATGTCACATCTGTGACGGGAAAAACTAGTTTTTTTTTTAAACTGTGTTTTTCATGTGTGTTTCTTGTGAGGGAAATCTTCGAAACCTCTTTACCGATTGCTTTGAAATTTTGACAACGTTCCATTCGAATAGGCGCGTTTTTTTTTATATACCTACTATAACATGCCTCACCTGTGACAGGAAAAAACCATGTTTTTTTTTTTTTAAACAGCGCCATCTGTTGACTGAAAGAGCAACACATGCTGTAATCTCCGAAGGTTCTTCACCGATTGCTTTGAAATTTTGACAATGTTCTATTCGAATACGCGCGTGTTTTTATATACCTACTATATAGATGCCACACATGACAGGTAAAAATATGTTTTTTTTTTTATAAACTGCGCCATCTGTTGCACGTAAGAACAACACATGCTATACTAAATCTGTTACGATTCCATTTCAATGTTTCCGATTTTATTGAAAAATTGAATTGCCATAAATTTTTATTTTTCATTTTTATTCAATTATTTTGTGTGACATTGCGTTGGAATTGAGCTATGTTGTTTACCATACCATTCATTTCGTGAGTATAAATATAAATGCCACATATGTGACAGGTAAAACCATGCTTTTTTTTGCTTTTTTTTAACAGCGCCATCTGTTGCACGTAAGAGCAACACACACTATACTAAATATGTTATGATTCCATTTCAATGTTTCCGATTGCATTGATAAATTGAATTTACATAGATTGATTTATTTTCATTTTCATTTAATTATTTTGTGTGACATTATGCTGGAATTGAGCTGTGTTGTTTACCATATCGTTCATTTCGTGAGTATAGTTTATTTTTTTATTTTGTCATTTTTTCATTTCGTTTTTTAACTGTTCTTATTTTTCAGTGATGGGAACATCAGATCATTTGGGAATACATTGGATGAGGGAGTGAAGAATGGTGGGGAGGACGATGGGACAGGGTAGTTGGGTAGTTGGGGATGGTGGGGACGAGGGGATGGGGGAATGGAGAATGATGGGGAGGACAAGGGGTTAGGGGATTTGGAAATGGTTGGGGAGGAAGAAGGGACAGGGGAGAGGGAAAGATAGGGAGGACGAGGGGATGGGCGAGTGGGAGACGGTGAAGTGGTGAATGGTGGGGAGGACGAGGGGACGGGGGAGGTGGGAATGATTGGAAGGAATGGGGAGGGACAGGTGAAGGTTGTTGTGGCCGGGTACAGCTAATATACAAATAAAATCATATTACAATATTCTCTTCAAATTATAAAATTATATTTTTTATTAATCCTGATATTTAAGCATGTGTACAGATACCTAGCATACGCAATAATAATTGGCTCACAAATAAAGTAATATCATGTTATTTCTCTATTCTTTATGTACATTAGCAAACTTATTAGTTTAATGATAAACTATTTGTCGAAGTTTTAAAAACTTGAACTTTTCTGTAACAAAGCATTTACTAAAGACACAATTCAAAACTAATAATCTTAACTTTTTTCTGTAACAAAAGTGCATATGAATAAGTGTTATGAACAACTGTTCTGTAGCAAAATTCTAAAACTTATTTTTTCTACATCAAAAAATTAAACTCTTAAACTTTTTTTTACTGCAACAAAAGCTTTTTGTGTAACAAAAACAAACTTTGAGTCAAAACTTTTTTTTTACTGTAACAAAGCTTGCAAACTTTTTTATTGTAATAAAGTATTTTCTGCAACAAAAGTTTACTCCAACAAAACTTAGCAAGTCCAAACTTTTTTATGTAACTAAACTTTCATTTGATCATTTCACAACTTTTTATGAGTCTAAACATTTTCATAACAGCTTAATATTAATTAAGCAACTTCATATTTTAACTTGCAACATTTTAAACTTAAGAGTATGGTGAGAGTAGAAGGCCAAGCCAGCAGTTGATATATGACGTGTTTCCTCAACAGGACTACTGGGCGGAGGTGTCCTCGTTGAGACGGGACCTGCTCTTCTGCCAGCTGGGCAACACACAGCTGCCTCTCGAGTTTGACCTGGACCTCGAGGTTGCCGCATCCTCGCATACTGTGCTGCCTCTGCCCCCCACACCCCTGCCTCTCGTCGCCACCACTGCCTCCACCATCACCACCACCACCACGTTGTCGAGGTCACTCCCGACCATTGTACACAGTAATCCCTCGCCTCCGTCCTCCTTGGCGTCGACTAATCCGCCATCTTCTGCTTCTTCTCCGTCATCAGATTCTTCTTCAACAGTTCTCATTTCGCGGGTACCAATTTTATCTTCCCCAGCGCCGTCCGTTCCTGCGATCTCCTCAGTGTCGTCGGGGAGTTCAGGGATCCCAGCGATGGTAGGAGTGGCCAGACCAGATGTCATGCCCTTGCATGATACTCCAGGCAGGCACCTGGAGGAAGGTGCATGGCGGAGACCGGGTTGGAGAGCAACACGGCCCCCACGGAGCCTCAGTAGAAGCATGGTGGCTGACCAGTCTACCGCCTCAGACTCCACCGACGTCGCTGAAAAGGTAATGTTGACAGACTACGTGTGAGTACGGTATATGTATTTATTATAAGCTTACTCTTCGCATGGTCAGAGATAGACGATTAAATATTTTGAAGTCTGCCCTGCTGACCGTACCCGCCCTGACGGCTTCCACATTCACAGACAACTTATAAACTCACTGGATGCAGTACTCGTGGGACGTCTCCTAAGGATCTTTATCCCATGATCTGTTAAGCTGACTTTTTTCCTTGGCTTACCTCCTTCCATCATAATAGGCGATGGGAAACAGCTTTGGCTGTTAATGGTCGCTTAATGGAACGACGTCCTGGTCCCTTTTGTTCAAGCTTTTTTTTTCCCCCTCCATAGAATCTTTGGTGACTCCGATACCTTTTGATATTGCTTTCCTTATGTCCCTCTGTTCTTTTATTGGCATCCTGAGTGATATTTAGTCTTTTTTAATATTTAACGACACAGATGGTGCTACATAGTTTTCCTAGTTTGGTGCATTCTTTTGATAATTACTTAATTCGTGTAGTAAGAGACAGGTCCCTAAGAGCATACGGTAGTTTTAATTCATGTAGACTAATTTGTGCATTGAGACAATAACAGAAGTTTCTGAATGAATTAATCACATTAAATGAAGATTATTGAAAGCCTAAAAATAGCCCCTAACATTGGAATCGTCGGGGGAAACGGGCTGTTCAGTACTACGGGCTCCGTCAGTGATAATACCTGTCATGCTTATTATACCCGTCACACTTCTGCCAGTTCAGTATTCATATGTGAGGGTCAGCCAACTGACCTGTGTGTCAGCTGGCTGGTTAGTTCACGTGGCGTTTGAGTGGCAATACAGAAAACACTGCGAGGAACATATGCTATTTGTCTATACTTTGATCAAGAGTTAATCATCAAGCCTTGGACATATATATTTCACATTCTCTATGATGCTTGTTTCTCTATTACTTATATACCAATGTACGAGACATTTCAAGACTCACTAGAGTAGTATGCATCCTCAGGAGTACGTTTCACTGCTGGAGAAACAGCTGCGTGACCTGAGAGCGAGAGTGAACGCTTGCAGGTCGTGCCTGCCCACCCCACAGAGGAAGTTGGCGACCTGTGGCGGCGGCAAGGCCTGGAGGGATTACCGCCGCAGAAGACGACTCCTCCGCCGCATGGAGCGAGAACAGAGAAGGGAAAGACGTCGCCGGAAAAAGAGCAGACAATTAAAAAAAATCCTCGATGATACGGCTTCCAGAATGCCGACTACTGCGCCTACCACCACACCTGCTACCACCGCGCCTCCAACCACCGCACCCACTACCACGGCGCCCACTACCACGGCGCCCACAACCACGGCGCCCACTACCACGGCGCCCACTATCATCGCGCCTCCTACCATTCCCACAACGGTAGCAGGCGCTGACGGGGACCAAGTCTTGGCCGACGTGGCATATGGGTGAGTTTACCTCAACCTGGTGACGTGTTCGCATGTACACTAACACCGGAATTCTACGCTCAGTGTTATTAGTAAATATAAGTACATAAGAACACGTGTGCACTTATGGATTACTAGCAGACAAACTGCGCTCATTCAAGCTATACACCTACACTAAATCTAATTATATATAATATATATATATATATATATATATATATTATATAACCTATATTATGCTTAAATGTATCAGGAAAATAGTTGTCACTGTAATAGGTAATACAGACAGTGCTCATTTGGGTTAAGTGTGGCACTTGTAGTGCCAGAGTGAGAGGTCAAGCATTACCAGGGCTCTAAGTCGTCAGTGTCGTAGAACCTATAATGCGAGGGACAGGTTTCAAGACTCTATGGCAAAAAATACTAGTAATTTTTACTGTCATTTCAAAACGACAGAAATAAATGCTTTTCTAAAGTCATAAAGTTTGTTTCTCTTCCTCTTTCTCCCTTAATACATTACCATCACCCCTCCACCCGTCCCCTCACCCGTCCCTCACCCCCTCCACCCGTCCCCTCACCCGTCTCTCACCCCCCTCCACCCGTCCCCTCACCCGTCCCTCACCCCCCTCCACCCGTCCCCTCACCCCTCCACCCGTCCCTCACCCCTCCACCCGTCTCTCACCCCTTCACCTGTCCCCTCACCCCTCCACCCGTCCCTCACCCTCCAACCGTCCCTCACCCTCCACCCGTCCCTCACCCCGTACCCCTCCACCCGTCCCTCACCCCTCCACCCGTCTCTCACCCCTCCACCTGTCCCCTCACCCCTCCATCTGTCCGTCACCCCTCCACCTGTCCCTCACTCTCCACCCGTCCATCACCTCCACCCACCTCGCCTAACACCCGTCCCTCACCCTCTACCTGTCCGTCACCCCTCCACCCGTCCCTCATCCTTCACCCGTCCCTCATCCTTCACCCGTCCCTCACCCTTTCCTCGTATACTATCTTCTTGTTGCCTCATACCTTCATAATTCCTTTATCGCATCTTCATATTTCTCCCTGTTCTCCTACTGTGTCATTCTTCACTCTTGTATGTGACCCCCTCTCTCTCCCTCCCTCCCTCTCCCTTTATCACTCTCACTCACACATTCTTTTTTTTTTTGTTTCGCTCTCCATCGCCTTCCTCCAAACACTGACAATTTAACCTCCCTATATTTGCTCTACCATCCCCCTCTCTTCCTTCCCCTTCTTCTTCCTCCTTGGTCACTCTCCTCCCTCCCCCCACCCATCGTCCAACCATCCCTCCACCCCTCCCGACACAGCGACCAGAAGCTGGACAACAAGAGAGCCCGCGAGACGCATCGCATGAGCACTGACTTCCGGCGCGGGTTCAACCAGAAGATCTCGCGCATGGACGAGGCGCTCATGCAGTTCACTGACACGCAGGCCGCCTTCTGCAAGGAGCTCCGCGACAACTTGGGCGGGCGGCTGGAGAAGCGGGGCCAGGAGCTGGAGGCGCTCTCAAACCAGATCGCCGCGCTCGTCAGGACCTCTACCGCCCAGATCACCGCCCTGGAGAAGGTCGCCTCCGACCAGGTGAGTTTTGAACGCGTGATGTGTTGGGGTTGGGATGTTGGGGAAGGGGAGGGAGGGAGGGGGGGTAGAACAATATGACATAGAGAAGCGAGGTAGAGTAGGATGAGAAATGAGGAAGAATGTGGAACGATGATTCTCCCCATCTTCCGTCTAGTTTTATGTTTATTTTTGTATTCTGGACAGATGAGAACAAAGTACAATACTCAGCTTCCCACCCTTTAGGAACACTGCCGCCATAAAGTGAAAACAATTTATCATAATTTATCATTACGATATATCTATTAGAGAGAATGTCTGTGTCTGAAGTTGAAGGCCTGACACTTGGGGTGATTGTGATTGCTGTGAGGTAGATGACCAATATGCATCCCGTCCTCGACTCAAGTCCATTTCATCCAGTAGTCGACCCTCAGCCAGTCCTCCAAACAAAGACCCAAAAGTGATTCCATGCACCCGCCAAACCCCCCCTGTTTTTTAATGAAAAACGGTTTACACACGATTCACAACTGATGACGTTCGAACACTTCCGGAACAAGTGCTTCACTGACGACTTTTGTTCGAACCATTTCCACCACGCTGTAAATGCTTCACCCACGTACTACAAATACAAATAATCGCGAACAGAACCTAAACACCTAAACTAACCTAACCCATGCTTATATATGCACAATATCCTATTATATTCTAATATTAATTTATATTTGAGAAAATTCCTGTTTTGAATGAACAGCATGTTAAAATTTATGAATGCGTCTGTGGGGTCGAACGCTGGATGTAATGGACTTGAGTTGAGGACGGGTTGTGTGTAAATCGTTTGTCATTCATAAACAAGGGGTTTGGCGGCTGTATGGAATCACTTTTGAGTCATTGTTTTTAGGACGGGCTGCAACATGTGCGGGTCAGTGTCTGCCCATTATAAAAGAGGTCGAATCCTATGGCAACCACCACGAAATTGGTCGAAGGTGTCTAGACGAATCCAAAGAATTTTAACCTCTTTACTCCACCTTGAAATCTATGCTATAAAAGATAAGCATAGTTTCTCAACACACACAGAGATCACACTAACGTGATGCATCAAATGAACAAATCCACAAGGGCCGTGATCCTCGTCACGGCCTTTGTGGATTTGTTCAGTTTCTCAAGCCACGGCCCTGCGTCAGAGTAAGGGGTAACTATTATTTTGTTTATAATTTCACAACACTAAGCTCCTCTGACTGGCAACCATTCACATATTAGACAATTACATCCATACTATAAGAGAGGGAGGGAACTATCAGAGGAAAGCGCCAAGCCAATACGACTATATAGCACGGGAAAGGGGTCAAGATAAGGATTTGGGATGGGTCGCGGGAAGGAATGGTGCCCGACCACTTGGACAGTCGGGGATTGAACGCCGACCTGCATGAAGCGAGACCGTCGCTCTACCATCCAGCCCAAGTGGTTGGACATATACTATAAGAGAGAATTTCTGTCTATCTATTTGCCAGAGACAGAGAGAGAAATTGGAATAGAGAGCGTAAACGAAAGGAGGTGAGGAGTAAGAAAGGGAATCGAATTACAGAAATGGATAAACGTTCACCTGCATCTAAGCCATCACTAGAACAGAGTCGCGCACAAACATTACTACTTTCATTTAAATTTTAGATAGGTTTCTTCTAAAGGTTCCAGCAAGTTGGTGTAGTGCACTAACAGCGCTTGAAGGAATAAGTCTTCGTAGTTTTTTTTTTTGTGTGTGTGTGCGCGACTAGATTCTACTGTGGTTTCTGAATTATGTTTAGTTAAATAATACATTAGCAAAAATTGCGTGGAATGTGATAATAACCCCCCACCCTGTCTCCTCCTCAGCTGTACGCTGGGCAGGCGAGCATTGAGAAGAGCCTGGCTGTGACCCAGGCCATTCGGGACTCCCAGCTGCGGGCCATCCAGAACTACCACAAGCAGACCTTCCTCCCTGCCGCCGCCGCCGTCGCCACCATCCTCACGGATCAGGCCTCCGCTCTCACCTCCATGGGAGTCGAACTCATCACCAAGGTCAGGACGCAGTCAGCGAGACAGAGTGTGAGGAACAGGGTTATCACTATTATCAGCCACCAGCAACACTATTATCAGTCATATTGGTGTATTTAAAACACCAAATAATAAAACGTTACTTTGATCAATCCAAGCCACAGAGAATGTACCTTCCATCACCAACCAACAGGTGACCGGGCAGCGCACGACACCGAAATTATTCTCCTCTAAACCTACACAAGTATTACTTCCAATGAAGCTATGTTCATATAGTGCCAAACTTCCAGGTGCCATCACCCGCGGAGTTCTTCTCAGCCTACCGGGGACCAGAGCCAGAACCTGGTCCCCTCTAGAGGCGCAGGGAGCAGTGGCACTATGATGAAAATATTTGTGAATTTTAATCATGCCTGCCACCACCAGAGAAACACTCGCAAAGACAGCGAAACAAAACAGACCACTGATGGTTATAAGGATAGTTCGACGCCTCAAAATCGCCAACAGAACTCTGTCATGTGCCCGTTTTAATGGTGCTCGAAACTAGCACAAAATCCCATTAACTCCCCCCACTCCATACGTTGGCACAGAAAATGAAGATAAATAAAAGGTTGGGACCTTTTAATTTCCAGTCTCTTACAGGGTCGTGCATACAGTTAAATATAATGAGACACAGAATACTAAAGTACAACCAATGGCTTTTCGGAAGGACACAGCCACGGGCAAAGAGTTATCTAGGAATTTAAATATTACAAAGTCCCATGCACTGGGAAACGGACAATAAAATAGGCTTGCACTTATCACTAAACATACACACAATTTAAAACACCTATGTCCTACTTACAAAACAGTAACAACCTAACCTAATAGCCACACGGCTTCATTGAGATCAGATCACCATCCTCCACCTTGCCTCTGCAACAAATGAGGCTGAATGAGATGTTGTTGTTGTTATAGATTCAGCTCTACTCGGAACAAGTTCCAAGTAGCACGGGCTATGGTGAGCCCGTAACTTACCTAGAAAAGGAGCGGGGCAAGTAGCACGGGCTATGATGAGCCGTAGTGGACTTACCTGGCACAGGAGCGGTGCTGTGTGCTGAATGAGAGACTCTCCTTCTTTATATGGACACATGGGCCGTGTTCGAACATGTAGATGCGTTCGGACGCCGGTCTATTTATTATTAACTACTAGTCCATCTTCTTTATCATTTGCTTAGAACTGTTCAGCAGATCTAAACTGGTAATTCAGTTAATAATCATTTTAAACAAATGGAACAGTACTATTAGCTATAGCCTATATAAAACAGAACATCTCACAGGACCAGTGGTAGGCCTGGTACAAACTATTGCCTGTCAGATGCCTGATAAAGCATCAGTCATTTCTCTGTCTTAGAATACTAAAGGCCAAACTCTGACAATAGTTGGCAAAATGGATATCTAATTACATGCAAGGGTTTTCTTTACTGAAAATCATAGGTACATCATAAAACTACAGTTAACCTGAGAAGAAAAACAGTATGGCCGCCATTTTAGGCTGTAGCTGCCATTTTAGGTGGGCTTAAGCTACTTACATTATTGGTGCGAAATCCCACTAGTCTAACTTACACTGGGAAGCTCCACATAGTTGGCTTTAATCTGCCATCAGAGTATTCCTAATGAATTCAGATTCCTGTTAACATTTTTCTGGATCCTGCAATTCAACATTACTACTAATACATTTCCATGAACTGACTTCCCATTTGTAGGGTTGGTACTCGCTTTTCCCGACCTCAGATCACGGCGCTTAAGCAGCTTACAGTACCCTCTCGCACCACTGGCTATTTTCAGTGTATCTTTACATATAAAATCCATACAACACTATACAAAGAATACATGGATGCTCCTTCCTACATCTATATAATAATAATATAATATAAGGCAACGCCTAGCATCTTTATTTCCTCTTAAAAGGTGAGGGTGTGCTTTCCATGAAGCTCCCAGTTTTGACCCGATTGTTGGTGTGTCCGGACCGGGGGCGTAGACCTCCGGCTGCTTTGTTTGGCGTCGAGAGGGACCCCCATTTCCCTATCCGCCGTTCGGAAATGTTTGGCCTAGAGTTCTCTGGCAGGGCGTTGTACCTTACCGTGGAAGTTGTTGTTATAAAGACTTTGTGGCCTGTTATGATGGGCGTTCGTTTACCCTCCCTGATGACGGTGGTACCGTCTCTGTCTCCGACCACTGCTGCTCTCTCACGTATTTGGCGCTGCATGGAGCCCCTTTTGAATTCTCTGAAGACCTGCTTCGGCGATATTTTGGAAACTATGGGACCGTGGAGTCACTCAGATTGACTACCATCTCTTCCAGCAGGTGGAGGGGGGTTTTGTGCGGTACCCGGACCCTCTCCCTGCATCCCAAGTCTCCAGTTCCGTCAACTGTTACGTTGATGGGTTACACCATGCGCGCCTTCTAGGCAGGGCAGCCCAGGTCATGCTTTCGATGTGGACTTGAGGGGCACCAGGTGGCGACCAGCACTGGTGTGGCGGCGGTGCCAGTGAATTTGTTTCGGGAGGAGAATTTTCCCCCGTTGGTGGCTTCGGACCTGTCGCCATGTAATGGTGTCGTGGGGGGGAGGCTTCCCTTCCGTCTGCTGCACCGGTGGTGTTATCAGGTTCCTCGGCTTGTGTGCCCGTGAGTACGGTTGCTGGTAAGAGTGCAGGGGTGATGGTGTGTGGTGACCCGCCCCTCTTAGTCGGCGTCCTCACCTCGGCCGGCTCCTTCACCTTCGCAGGCTCCCTTGCCTCCACAGGCTCCCTTATCTCAGCTGGTTCCTTTGCCTCTGCAGGCACCTTCTCCACTGCCGGATCCCGCGTCTACGCAGGCTTCCTTCCCTGTGCTGGCCCCCTCGCTCCCGCCAGCTCTACCTGCCCTATCTCCAGGTCCGGTATCAACTGTGGGGGTGTGGCCTTGTGCTCCCTGTCGTCCAAGATGCTGTGCTTCGGGGTCGCGCTTCCACCGCAGTGGGGCGGCCGGTCGAAGGCTCTTCTCGATGCCTCCTGCTGGTGGCGACAGTTCCGACGATCAGCGACCTGTGTCGAAGCATTCTTGGATGGCTATGAGTGCGTCGCCCCCTCGCGAGTGTGCTGCAGAATGTGATATTGAGGACTCTGAAAGCACTTCCTCTGTTGAGTGCGAGGTTGCTGTGCAGGGGGCTGGTATGGTTCCAGCGGGTGGTGTGGACCCTGTTGTAGAGGTGGGGGCCGGTGTGGGGACCTTGGTTCCTGTTTAGGGGGCCTCGCCTTCGTCCATTTGTTCCGGTTCCCCGTGGGGAGTGGTTCCCCCTGTGAGGATGTTAGTGAGCATCGTGGGTTAGTGTTGGTCCTGAAGAATGATACCCCCCCCCCGGCCTGCTCCGTCATCGGCGGCGGTGGTGCCGCCTCTCCAGTCTTCGCCTTCATCTTCAATATCTCCTATTTCGTCGGCGGCAGTCTTGCCGCTTCTCCAGCCTCAGCCTTCGTCTTCGATGTCCTCTGCTCGGGGGCGACCGCCTCCGCCCGGGTTTCCGCCTGATATAATGGTTCCGGAGTACATGAGGCGCCCGCGGCGTCGTGGGGATGTCCGGTCTACTGAACGGGAGTGGATGATTTGGAATGCTTATGTTCAGACGTATCCGCAGTTGGATTACCCTGAGAAATATGTGGATTCTTATTATCAGTGAATTTGTTCCTGTTTCACCCAATTCTATATGTTGCAGTGTTTTGTTTGTGTCTGTATGTGTTGTTGTGGGGTTTGTGGTTGTATGTATGCGTGTGTGTGGGTGGGGTATATGTTCCCCGTTCCTGCATGTTCCGGTGTTTCTGCTTGTGGGTTTGGGTGTGTGGATGTGGTTTTTTCGGTTCCTGCTCGTTCCGGTATTTGTTCTGGTGTGTCAGAGTGTGGCTGTGTGGTTTTCTTCTTTACTGTGTCATGTATTTTCTCCTTGTATTTCTTGGGGGTTATTTTCTGTCAAAGTTCTGTTGTCTTTCCCGGTTTGTGAATGTTAAATTGCATGATGTGCTTTTCCTGTGCCCGGTAATGACTTGTCTTAGTACATGGTTTAGTACCTGCGTTCTTTTCTGTACTTATTGCTTCATTCTCATTTGTGTTTCTGTTCTGTATACTGTGCTAGGTTCTGGGTTATGTGTTATGTTTTTCTACTTCATGTCTGTTTCATGTTTTATGTGTGTATAATGTTTTACTGTCCTTCTTTGTACATTTTGTTTATTTTATAAAAAAACTCTCCCGGCAATGTAAACAAACTATCGAAAATTCATGAAACTAGTGCAAGCTCGTTTTCCGCACTTCCCGTCCACCGTCTTTTTTGGGGAGGAGGGAGGCAGACCAGGTCAGCCGGCTGCTCCACTCTCAGTTATTTGCTGATGGTAGACAGTGTGTGGTGCCTTCTCTCTCGCCCCCATGTTCTGTTGTAGCTAAGTGGTGGTGTTTTGCCTTTGTGGCTGTTCCGACACACGTTCGCGCTAGTCACAAGTATAAGGCGCTTAACCCCAAACGAGGAGAGTTGTTTTAATATTAGCTCTTTGTTGTATCAAAGACTGTTTGGAGATGAATAAAACTGTGAGTGCTTGGACCCTGCCTGATGAAATATTGAGAGGCAAGTTTTAAGTTTTGCTCCCAGGAAGAAAGTTCATATAGGTTTGAAGCAAATAAATGCCTAATTTGAATCGTCAACCTTCTGAGATCCGGTCTTGTGTTCCCAGGATTAGCCTTGGGGCAAATCCCGGAACTTTCTCAATAGTCTTCTTGAGTGGGGAAGCTATGCCAGTACTGCATACTTCACAATGGTCTTAAATAAGCCGCCAATATAATTTGTAAGAATATTGAGGTCCACCCTCTGGTTCCCTCTATCATGAATTAAGCTTCTTAGTCTTATCGAGATCCCCCCCCCCCTAGCCCTTTCCCCAAGATTCATCCCACAACAGATCCCTAACTCCCAGATTCCTATTTTTTTTACTATGTGAACAGAGGCATCAGACGAAAGGAAACGTTGCCCAGACGCTTTTTTCTTCTGCCCTCGCGGGAATTAAACCCGTGACCTCTCATTTGTGACCCGACTACAGTTAACCACTGCGCCACACACTATTATTATGTGTGCTGTTATCATGCGTACCTACTAACATTAGTTTTTTTATGCGCCCTTCTTGCTGAGATTGATATGTGGGTTTATATGCGTTACATATGCGCTCCTTAACCATAGTGTGAGCACAAGTGGGAAGATGTTAGTGGCACATGATGAGCTGAGGCGATGAATCCCAAAGTTCGTTTAGTAAAGCAAGTTACAGCCTTAATTATCCAGTTACATAGTTATGACAACAAAGTTTTTTGCCAATTTTCCACAGTGCCAATTTTGGTAATTAAAATATGTTTTGGTGAGTTGTGTTATGACAGTGCTAATGTACTGTGTGTTTGTCGCTCACAGAACACCTTGAGAACTTTACTGTGGTGAGAACAGAGATAACTGAAGTGCCCGAAAACACACAGGTGTGTAAGGTTAGTTTTGGCTGGCTTCTGCTGCAGGTAGAGATGCTGCAAGACGTTTACCTGACATACGCCACCCGGCAGGCAGACACCCTGCAGAAGCTGACGGAGGACGTGGACATGTTCGCCTCCAAACACAACAACCTGGTGATGCGCTCCAGAGACCACGCCAAGCACCTCCAGATCAACACCCACGGTTTCGTCAGGGTAAGCTTCCCCCCCCCTCCTCTTCCTGTCTAATCTGTCCCTGTCTGCTGTCTCCCAGTCCACATCCTGCCTTACCTCTACCATACTGTCTACTCCCTGTCGTCCCAATCTCCTGGCCTGGACGGTAGAGCGACGGTCTTGATTCATGCAGGTCGGCGTTCAATCGCCGACCATCCAAGTGGTTATCCCTTACCCCCCCCCCCCCGTCCCATTCCAAATCCTTATCCTGATCCCTTCCTAGTGCTCTATAGTCATAACGGCTTGGCGCTTTCTCCTGATAGTTTCGTTCCTTTCCCCTGCCCTCTCCATAAGAGTAACACGCTGCTCGTGTACTGTCTCTCTGATATGACAAATGAACGTCAGCCCCATGACGTTATTGTTATTCTTTGACCACTATAGTCCTTCCTCTTCATCCGAGTTCCAGCCCCGCTCCTGTGCCAGGTAAGTCCACTACGGGCTCACCATAGCCCGTGCTACTTGCCCCGCTCCTGTGCCAGGTAAGTCCACTACGGGCTCACCATAGCCCGTGCTACTTGCCCCGCTCCTGTACCAGGTAAGTCCACTACGGGCTCACCATAGCCCGTGCTACTTGCCCCGCTCCTGTGCCAGGTAAGTCCACTACGGGCTCACCATAGCCCGTGCTACTTGCCCCGCTCCTGTACCAGGTAAGTCCACTACGGGCTCACCATAGCCCGTGCTACTTGCCCCGCTCCTGTACCAGGTAAGTCCACTACGGGCTCACCATAGCCCGTGCTACTTGCCCCGCTCCTGTACCAGGTAAGTCCACTACGGGCTCACCATAGCCCGTGCTACTTGCCCCGCTCCTGTACCAGGTAAGTCCACTACGGGCTCACCATAGCCCGTGCTACTTGCCCCGCTCCTGTACCAGGTAAGTCCACTACGGGCTCACCATAGCCCGTGCTACTTGGAACATTTTTGTTCAGAGTGGCTGAATATAAAACAGCAACAACAGCCTTCCTCTTATTTAGTTGAATATATTATTTTTATTATTATTATTTATTATTATTATTAATATTATTATTATTATTATTATTATTATTATTATTATTATTAGTAATAGTAGTAGTTTATAATTCCTGTTCTTTATTATTACTTTTAACATTTTATTATTACATTTTCTTTCTCTTTACATGCAACACACAACTAGCACGAACTGTTGGCGAATATTGCATGTGTTACGATATATAAATGTGTGTAATGAGGGTGTTATGTTGTATCTGCATTTTAATATATTATTTTGGTCAAAGAAGATGCCACCTGAAAGAGCTCTCATCATATCTTCCAAGGCCACTATATATTCTTGAGAGATATAAGAATTTTGCACCAAGACTGTAATATTTTGTTGAATTATCCGTATAACTAGGTCATAAAAGTATTTGTGTACGTCTGATACCATACCACTTGTGAAGGAGGAAATGTACATGTTTATCTCTCAGAATGTTTGGTAACAGGTTTATTGTTTGTGATGTGTGTCTATGTATGTATTAACACGTGGTACTGAACGGGGTGAGAATAGCTTGAGCTACCTCATCCCTTTGTGTGTATTTTACCTCAATAAACTTATTTCAATTTCAATTTCACTATACAGGTCACATGACCTAATACAAGCAATGAGAGTGGTTAGTGATGTGGTGCAGCAACAAGACCACTGGTGGTAAGGTCACGGCGGGTCACTTGACCCACATCACGTCAAAGTGATGGTGCTCAATCGTGGACATTGCAACCTGTCCCAGGCTAGGCTCGGTAAAACTGCGACCCCCCATCCCCCTACGATGCATTCATAAATGTTAACATACTGTGTATTAAAAATTGGTTTGCTCGTGTATATAAATTATTATTATGCATTAATATTCTATGTATAGTTAGAGAGTAGGTTAGGTTCGGTGTTTAGGATCTGTTGGCGACTATTTGTATTTGAAGTACGCGGGTGAAGCATAGCGTTGCGATTCGTACCTTGGTACGAATCGCATTTAGCGTACCCAGGTATTCTGGGTACCCCTAGCGTTGTAGAGGTACCCAGGGGCAACCTGGGTACCCCTTCATGTTGCAGTTGGTGGATGCCCCAGGGTGCCCTTACATGTTGTGTGTGCCAGCAGGAGCTGCAGACGAGGATGAGCAACGTTGTGAAGGAACTCGTCCTCATTCGGCTTCAGAGTCAAAATTTCGTCTCGATCAACAATGATTCCCACAATGACTTCTCCAACAGGTACGTTTTCTGTGAGAAAAAGTGAGAAAAAATGTCAACAGTGAGACATTGAGAAGAATTCATCTTCCCTATTTAATGAGAGCACCATATACAGTACTGAGTAAACACTGAACACCTTTAGACACATGTCTTGTTCACTGCCAACCGTGAGAACCCAGGCAGACAGCTTGGAGTGCATTACAGCACGTCTCTCTTCCCTCCCCAGCCTCAACTTGACCCAGGCAGCAGTAGACACCCTCTCAGAGCGTCTCAAGGCTCGCCTCGACAACGCCACGGTGCTCGAGCAAGACTTCAGGAAGATCTTCAAGAGGGAGACCAACCATTTTAGTGATAGAGTCGAGAGCGGCATTAGTCAAGTGAGCTGTTTTCCTCTTTTTTTTCCAACTATTTATACTGTATTCTTTCTTCCGCTTCTCTCTCAGCCTACCTTTCAGATCCTGTAACCTACAGCAAAGATGTTCGCTTACAGGATAAATATATATCAATAACATGTCTTGAAATATTTGAAAATGTTTAAAAACATTTCTATATTAACTTCTGTAAACATTGTTAGGGGTGTTAGAGAGAACAAAGTCTTTAAGACAATGTTGACAATTCAAACTTTGAAGTGTTCTGTAGGATGTTTCAACATACATATACTGTATGGCTCTTTACACTGTTGCAACGTTCATACCTCACAAGGCTCTTGACAGTTGCAACATACATACACTGCTTGTTTACACTATTCAACATTCATATTTTACAGCGTTCGTTACACTTGCAACATGCAAACACCGCAGTGTTCTGTACAATGTTGTAATATTAAAAGAATTCAATGCTCTTTACATTATTGCAACATCTACAGTGAAGTATTCTTTAGTGTTGCAACATACATACATACATACACTGTATGACGCTTTACACTGTTGCAATATACACTATGTCCCTTAAATATTTTCCAACAAACTGTACACTGTTACAATGTGGACATAATGCAGTGTACTTTACACTGTTGTAACATGCACACAGTGCAGTGTTCTCTGTGTCACGTGCCCGTCTAATAATGCTTGAGAATAGCACAGAATCCCATTAATTTCCCCACTCCAAGCAGGAGGCCTAGACAGTGATGGGTAATGAAAGATGGGACCGCCTAACTCCAGTATATTATAGGGGACGCGCACACAATTATACACGGGAGACATCTCCCGTCACGCAGGGTGCAGTCGCACCTCCACAGATCTCCAGTATCATCTATTGATACTAGAAATGGCTCAAAAGGGCCACCACTTATGGGCTATTCATGCCCAAGCCACCTTTTGGGTGGCTTAATCTTCTCTCTCTCTCTCACAATTAAAAACAAGTAATCACACAGATACAAGTTAGTTACACCACGTGGCTCGCTCTGAAGGACACAGAGACTCGGGTCAAGAATTATCTATGAATTTAAATATACAAGTTCCACGCACTGGGAACGGGCAATAAAACGGGCTTACACTTACCACTAACACACACACTTTTAAAACACTTGTCCTACTTACAAAACAACAAATAACAGTTAACCTAATAGCCACATGGCTTCACTGAGATCAGACCACCATCCTCGATCTTGCCCCCTAGAACGAATGAGAGTGATTGTTGTTGTTATAGATCCAGCTACTCGAAACAAGTTCCAGGTAGCACGGGCTATGGTGAGCCCGTAGTGGCCTTACCTGGCACAGGAGCGGTGCGGGAGCGATTAATTGATTGATGAAGATTAAGCCACCCAAACGGTGGCACGGGCGTGAATAGCCCGTAAGTGGTGGCCCTTTGGAGCCATTACCAGTATCAAGAGCTGATACTGGAGATCTGTGGAGGTGCAACTGCACCCTGCGTGACGGGAGATGTCTCCTCCCCGTCCAGCGAGGTATTGATTGATTGATAAAGATTAAGCCACCCAAGAGGTGGCACGGGCATGAATAGCCCGTAAAGCTAGGTATGGGTGCTCCTTCCTTATATGGGCACGGGACCGTGTTCGAGCATGCAATGCGTTCGGACGCTGGCCTAGTTAGTAATTAAAATACTAGTCCCTCTTTTTTTTTTTTTTTTTTTTTTTTTTTATATACAAGTGGTGTTACATTCTTGTACAGCCACTAGTACGCGTAGCGTTTCGGGCAGGTCCCTGGAATACGATCCCCCGCCGCGAAGAATCGTTTTTTCATCCAAGTACACATTTTACTGTTGCGTTAAACAGAGGCTACAGTTAAGGAATTGCGCCCAGTAAATCCTCCCCGGCCAGGATACGAACCCATGACATAGCGCTCGCGGAACGCCAGGCGAGTGTCTTACCACTACACCACGGAGACTGTTTTTTCTTCACTCTTCTTAATCATTTGCTTAGAACTGTTAAGCAGATCTAAGCTGGTGATTTATTTAACAATCATTTAACACAAATGGAGCCATACTATTAACAACAGCCTATTTAAGACACAAAATTTCTCAGGACCAGTGGTGGCCTGGTACAAACTCTGGGTTGCCAGATGCATGATAAAGTATCAGGCATTTCTCCCTCTTAGAATACTAGAAACCCAAACTCTCACAATGGTTGGCAACATGGATTTCTAATTACATGCAAAGGTTTTCTTGACGGAAATTAATAGGTACATCATAAACTTTACAGTTAACCTGAGGGTAAAACAGCATGGCCGTAGCCGCCATGTTAGATGGCTAAGCTACCTACAATATTTGTATTAAATCCCATTAGTCCAACTTACACTGGGAAACTCGACATGGTTGACCTTAATCCGCCATCAACGTATTTAACGAATCTAGATTCCTGGTAACATCTCTCTGGTTCCAGCAATTAAATATTACTGTTATTTAGTACTTCCCGTTTTCTTAATTGTTGGTCATCCCGACCTCCGGTCAGAGCGCTTAAGCCGCTTAAAACCGAGCGGTGCTATGATCCAGCGTGTCTTTATATATATAGCTACACAACAACTACTCTAATACATGAATGCCTTTAGGTTCTTCCCTACACACATAGATAATATAATCTACTACAATAAGGCAACGCCAAACATCTTTATTTTTCTTAACATATATCTTTGCTTCTAAAGAAAGTTACGAGTTCGTTATTCTTCAACTGGGAATACCGGATTCGTAACATTTTGCGCGCGCGCGCACACACACACACACACACACACACACACACACACACACACACACACACACACACACACACACACACACTCTGTCTTAAGAGCCACAACTTTACCTGAGTACTGTGGTTGTCGCCGGCAGGCGCTGGCGTCCAACCACGAGAGCATCAGTCAGGTGGAGGAGGCGGAGCTGGACACGCGGGTGTTCGTGGGCTCCGCTACTGCCGCCTGGAACGAACTCTACCTCAACCAGGAGGCGGAACTGCGTAAGGAGGCCGACTCTCTAACCCACAGCCTGCGCAGTCACACCCACCACACGCAGAACGTCCTAACAGGCATGCGCAGTGCAGCCGAGACGCATGAATTGGTAAGTATTGCATAAATATATATATTTATTTACCCAAAAAGACATTAACTGTAACTCTCTCTCATCCTTGATAGCGCTCAACCTCTCAAAATATAACTGCAGCATACCGATTCTGATTCTTTGAAGAGCGGAAGACACTTACGCTTAATATAAGCTCCCATGATGTTGGCCATTAATCGGTGAAGAGTTGGTAGTGAGGCCAAGGAATAAGCTGGGCATCCATAAATCTAATTTAGATAAAACTAAAGACAATTGAAACTAAAGTTAAATTATATGAGGTTGGTTGTGTCAACGACTCCCAGGAAGTCCGCCACAATGCCTCACTTCTCACATTAACTTGGTGCATTCCATTCTTCATGTTTATGGGCCAGCCAGAACTAGTATAAAACATTATTCTTAATAATTTTGTATTATCTTTATACATAATAGGATTAGCAGAGAGTGATAGAGAGCAGTGGTGTGCGACCCGTGCTTTAGTCAATGTTTTGAAGCGCGTGTTTTGGCGTTTGACAGTGTTAGCTGGAGTGGAGTGAGGCGGCTGAGACGGCCCGAGTGACGGTAGTGACCCGCTAGTGGGTGCTGCTTGTAGGGTTCTGGGGAGAGTTATCACCGCTACAACAAATTTATAAATTATCATCGTGCAATGATGAACAGTTTCCAATGGCAAGGAGAGAAATGATGATGATAATTATTATAAAATAATTAAGCACTCAAGATGCTTCCCTTAGTATCTCATTCTTATTGTTGATTGGAGGGAAAATATGTCGATAGGATCAAATTGTTTTAATAATTTGGGGCCATTAATTTTTTAAACCAAATCAATGTAAGTGGGTTGAAATGGGGGTATGGTCAAGTAGTGACAACTCACAAGAGCTATTGGTTTATAATAATCATAGAGGAAGTTCCTAATTGTGTTGGTTTCCTGACTTGAGAACAGGTGCATGTCATCATTTCTCTTCGAAAGTACCCGCCCACCGCCATGATTAATCAAATCTGACAAAAAGTGTAGAATGTAGGAAATGTTTCAGTATGCCTTAATGCATCACGTCTTCAAACATAGGCTGTCATAACGACACAGCAAACTAGTTCGGCTACTGTTAATAATTCGTCATAAGTAATGTATAAGGAGAGGAAAGTGTCGGTGATTCAGTTATCTTGAGGTTATCTTGAGATGATTTCGGGGCTTTTTAGTGTCCCCGCGGCCCGGTCCTCGACCAAGCCTCTACCCCCAGGAAGCAGAACGTGACAGCTGACTAACACCCAGGTACCCATTTTACTGCTAGGTAACAGGGGCATAGGGTGAAAGAAACTCTGCCCAATGTTTCTCGCTGGCGCCTGGGATCGAACCCAGGACAACAGGATCACAAGTCCAGCGTGCTGTCCGCTCGGCCGACCGGCTCCCAGTTGTAGGCTTCCTGGTGTTAAATGTTGATAAGTGACAACTTACGCTTATATTAGAGTAATGAGCAAATTAACAACATTACCTTGCAGAAGATTGATGGAGAAAAGGACTAAGGAATCAGAAATCACCAATCACTGACAGATGCACATCAAGTGGGAGCTGCATTTAAAAATAAAAGACAATCACACCTAATGAATAGTTAAACCAACCTTTAACTTCAAGAGAATGTGGACTAGTGTATTCAGGCATGGAAACCTCATCTTCAGAAAGGACCGAGTATTACGTGTTAAATATCTGTTTCGAAGAAATCAACATCAGACGACAAAAATCATCCCAGAGCTAACTCTACTCTCATACCAGGAACAGCTGTGGGCCACAGGACTAACAATACTACAAACCAGACACGACAGGGCTGATCTCATCGAAACTCTTACAGGATAAGGTGGAGGATATTAATGCAGCCCACTTCTATAAAATGACAATTTAACATGTACAGTAGTAACAGCTAGAAACATAACTGGTATTTTGAACACATTATGGTAATATCTAACGGGAAAATGTTATTACTTGAGAGTAGGGAAATAGCACAAGATTTAACAGATTATATTTTGAAACGGAACAACTTGACTACAATAGAGATGAATACAGTGAACTTTGAATAGAATATAGAGTTGCACACTTGGGATATGTCCTCTGCCTAGGCTGCTAGTGCCTCATCCTCTCCAGCCCACCTCACAATAACCAATGTACTTTGGCCTTAATTCACCACATTAGTATAAAAATAATGATATACCTGTACATTTTTTATATGGTGGGCGTGTGTAGTTTATTAATAATGTTTTCAGCGTATTTAAAACGATACATCCATATGGAAATATTAATAATATTGAGAAAATAATTGCCCTCTTTTCCAAGTCATAGATATATCCTTATACAATATAACCGATGCTGTAATGTATATAAATTAATGGCAATCAATTACTCTTACAGATATAGTGTATATTTAACAGATAGCTATATTTAACATTTATGCGCTGATGATATTGCGGTTACATTTAACACTGGTGGGTACAGGATCAGACGACTTCTAATTCCTGCTAGCAGGCTGAGCACCTTTCCGTCCATTGGCTCATAGTTAACCTCCCTGGAAACACAAACCGAAACTGTCTCTATTTTCCGCTTGTTACAACTTGTAATAAAGTTGTTACATCTTGGCTTAACGTGTTTATGACGTATTATAACGTTGTTACAACTTGCTATATTGGTTGTTATAACTGGTTAGGAGGTGTTAAAGCTTGTTCGAACGTTGTACCAACGTCGTAGTTTCGGTGTGTGTTTGGCGGGCTTAGCCTATTAGTTTTCCCTGGAACACAACCTGTCAGTCGGTTAACAACCAGGTTCCCGGTTACTACTGGGCGAACAGTTAAGGACTGGCGCCCAATCAATCCTCCCTGGGCCAGAACTAGAACTAAGACCAAATTGCTGGCGAGTGTGTTGTCTGACACGATGCCTTTCCTTTACAGGTTTTAGAGGAACAGCGAATGAACTTTCAGCGTTTTATCCGGAAGCGACAAGACGCCTTGGACAACCAGTGCTCGGCCATCAGTGACTGGGCCACGCTCATGTCGACGGAGCTCCGCAGACGGGACGAGGACCTCCACAAGTTCCTGAGTGAAGATCTCCAGTACACCACAGGTAGCCCTCTCCCAACCATCTTACACCACAGGTAGCCCTCTCCCAACCATCTTACACCACAGGTAGCCCTCTCCCAACCATCTATCTCCACACACACACACACACCAGTTGATTGACAGTTGAGAGGCGGGACCAAAGAGCCAAAGCTCAACCCCCGCAAGCACAAATAGGTGAGTACACACACACACACACACACACACACACACACACACACACACACACACACACACACACACACACACACACACACACACGCGCGCGCGCACACTTAGAAAGTGTCAGAGAAGACCTGAATTCAAAGAACAATGTCAGTGATTTTAGAATAGGAAAATGTGAGAAACACAAGAACCGCCCCTTAAGGGTGACTTTTAATGGAGTGAAACAAATGAGGGAAGTGCTTAGAAATGCCAGGAAATTGCAGTGATAAGGTTGGCAAACTTTGGTCAATAAGACAAGACCTCTCAAAGAACAACAGATAAAAGCTGAAAACAAACCTCGATGAAGTGAAACGTTTAAATGGGAATAGACATGAAGAAAGAAATTATTTTTTCTACGAAGTGTTAGGAACTGGAAAGCTAGTGAAATTGTACATAAAAACAAAGCAACAAAATCATTACAGGAAAGGGGAGTAAAGGACAAAGGGAAAGGGAACATGTTCCTGAAAATTGTATGCACCAACATAGATGAAGTGAGATAAAAAATAATGGAGCTAAGAGTACAGCTTAAGATCCCATATATTGTCGCATTAACAAGAGACGAAACTTGAAGAAAATTTTTTCATTGAGATTGTATTCCCAAGGGGCTACTGAGTTTGGAGATGGGACAGGAAAACTAGGAAGGGAAGAGAAGTGGCTGTGCTGGTGAAAGAACACCTGAAGGTAAGAGAGTTAATAATCGAAAGCCCTCAAGATGTTGATTCACTTATTGGCATTGCAGGTCTGGAATCAGGATGATAAACTTATAATCATAAATACCTACAGCCCACCGGCAAGCAGCACATGGACAAAGGAGGAATTGGATGACAAACGAGAGGACCTCATTAATAGTCATAAGAGTGTAGTAAGGGCAGACAGAGATAAGTCACAATTGTTGGTACTGGGGGACTTCAACTTGAAAGCAATAGACTGGTAGGCCTACGAAACAAGAACGGAAGACATTTGGACAGGCAGATTTGTAAACCTCATTCTGGAGACATTTATGTATCAACACGTCAAGCAGGCCACAAGGATGAGGGAAGGGGATGTTTCGTCAGTAATGGATCTAATACTAGGAAAGAAGAGGAGATATTTGACATCCAGTACCTTCCATCATTGGGAAAGTGTGATCATGTCCTCTTGGAAATTAAATATGCTTTGCGATATTATCTAGAAGAGAATGGGGACATTGACTCTGTTGATAAATTCGATTACAAGAGCGGACACTATGGGGAACTTAGAAAATTCTTTAATGAGTTTAATTGGACACACTTGTTAGGCAAGGAAGTAAATGAGATGTAAGTCAAATTTTGCAAACTATACGATTAAGGCACAGAAACATTCATACCAAAACAGATGCAGGACCAGAAAACAGGATTGGTTTAACAGAAATTGTGAGAGGGTCAGAGAGGATAAGACAAGAAAATGGGTTCAATATCGGAAGAGGTCTAACCAGCAAACATACCAGCATTACAAACAAGCAAGAAACAATTACCCAGGAGTGAGAAGAGAGGCAGAAAGAAACTTTAAGAAAGGGATACCTTGCGGTTACCTTGCGATGATTTCGGGGCTCAACGTCCCCGCGGCCCGGTCCTTGATCCGGCCACGGGGATACTAAAGAAACTGTATGACTTTTGTACATACAGTTTTTGAAACTGTATGAATTGGAATATGCAGCAGTTGTATGGTGCCCAAATCTCAAGAAGCACGGAAATAAACAAGAAAAGGTGCAACGACATGCTACAAAATGGCTTCCGAAACTGAAAAATAAGAGTTACGAGGAGAGACTAGAGGCGTTAGACAAGGCGAAATTAGAAGATAGAAGAGAAGTAATATGATTACGACTTGCAAAATACTAACAGGAATAGACCAAATTGACAGAGGAATTTCTGAAACCAGCAACTTCACGAACAAGAGGACACAGATTCAAGCTAAGAAAACAAAGGTTCCGAAAAAATATTAGAAAATTCTTTTGTAAACAGAGTGGTAGACGGGTGGAACAAACTACATGAGAATGTGGTGGAGGCCAACACCGTCAGTAGTGTCAAAGCGTTATACGACACAGAGTACTGGGAAGATGAGGCACCACGAGCATAGCCCGCATCCTGTAACTACACTTAGGTAATTATAAACACACTCACCTCTAGTACACCACAGGTAGTCCTTTCCCAATCATCTATCTACACACACACACATACACACATACACACATACACACATACACACATACACACACACACACACACACACACACACACACACACACACACACACACACACACACACACACACACACACACACACACACACACACACACACACACGCATCTCCATATTTATTAAGAAACTGCATATTTCTTGTGATGAGTTATCCATTAAAATGTTTTACCTTACTACTTGTTCCAAAAGCTTAACAACAACGTGTGATGAACTAATTATGTTATTTTTCTATTTCAGCATATTCTGAATTACGGACGATGCTTTATTGCAACAATTAACGAGTAAATGTTATAGCTTAACTCGATATTAAGATCCCAACTTCCCTTCCTCGCCTCCTACTTTCAATAGTTTCATAAGAAATAACAATAATTATTTTCAGGTGCTCCGAGAGTGATACCCTAAGTTACGGCAACTTAAATTACACATATTTGTAATGAATGTTGGTGTAATTATTTGGGTAAGAGCCTAATTTTCCCTTATTTGTTATGTAAGTTTCTTCAATATTTGGTAGTGAACAGAATGTGCAGTCTAATATCCTCACGTTCATGTTCACACTGGAATAATTAGTAGTAATGAGGCTAGAGGTCGCCCCGTGTGTCGGCAACAGACCTTCGAGGGATACTGGCATATTCATATTTTGATGAATACTTGTAACTCACATTGATAATTGTAATTGTCACTCGGGTAGAAACAAATTCATGTTAATTAAATGTATACCTTTTGAGTATTCAGACTAAAAAGAAAATAGCCATGATTCATTTGACCATTTGTTTATATAAAAAAATATATTTTTGCATTTTTGGAATATGACTCATTTCATATAATACAGCTGCCATATGAAACATGTAATTATCCAGATTACAAAGTGTTTAATCAGCTCAGACATAATATGTATACAGTATTGTGCAAGATTTAAAGCACAATACTGTATACATATTGGTATACAGTATTGTGTGAAATACTGTATACCAATTTGCTCTGTCTGGGCACAGAGCGAATCCTGTGTTTAGAAGAAATATTTATTTTCCACAGATGCAGTTGATAAAAATAGGCTGTCAAAATTGCCATGGAAATTTATAGATTAATACTTTTTTCAATAGTGATGTTATGTACATTTTTAATATAACTTAATGTGAATTTAACATCACAAAGCATGGAGGTAATTGACTCCTATTTAACCATAATTTTCAAACAACAATTAACACAACTGTGTACATTGTTGATATGCGTGTCTTGGCATTAATTACGACAACTTGCAAGAACTCCATTTGAAAGGTTTAATATAATTACAGTACATTTAATAATTAGTTTCAAACAGGCTTAAAACGGAACGGTCTGATATGGAATTTAGGTGAGTTTGTATGGATCTATTTTTATATATAAAACTTTTAAGCACAAGTGTGATTAAAGTTTAGCATACTTACGTCCATGTGCTTCAGTGTGATACGGAATGTTTGCCTATCTTTAAATATTTCATTTAAATGTTAGAAACATTTGAAAACGTTAAAATGTCAATAATCTTAAATAAAGCAAACCTAATAAAAAAATCACAGCATTCAAGATATTGACATTCCATGTCCAGTCTTCTGAGACAGTCCAATTGTGTGGACTGTCCAGGGAGAGTACTGTATGTGATAATAAAAGAAGAACTGTCTGATAGTGAGAGAGAAGAATCAGTACTGTGTGTGTGGTAGTGAGGGAGAAAGAGGAATCAGTACTGTGTGTGTGTGTGTGTGTGTGGTAGTGAGAAAGAGGAATCAGTACTGTGTGTGTGTGGTAGTGAGAAAGAGGAATCAGTACTGTGTGTGTGGTAGTGAGAAAGAGGAATCAGTACTGTGTGTGTGTGTGTGGGGTAGTGAGAAAGAGGAATCAGTACTGTGTGTGTGGTAGTGAGAAAGAGGAATCAGTACTGTGTATGGTAGTGAGAAAGAGGAATCGGTACTGTGTGTGGTGGTGAGGGAGAAAGAGAAATCAGTACTGTGCGTGGTAGTGAGGGAGAAAGAGGAATCAGTACTGTGTGTACTGATCTGAGACAAGAATCGGTAAAGCGTTGACCTTCAGTGTGAGTGATTATCAAAAGAAGGCATCAAGTCGGGGAGACTATGTAGCACCATATCCTTCATTGTAGGAATCACTATAGCATATTTCTGTACAGCCACACAGTTAGAGGCTGGGGATATAGGTCATCCCAGAGATCACTAGCCGCTGGAGACTATTACATGTATTAACTTTTTTTTTTACATAATGAATTATAATCTCTTTAAATGGCATTAGATTTTAATTATGTATGAACTTATATCATTCTATTAGTTATATTTTCTTATGATACACATTTATGTGATAACATGAAAAAATATATTGATTTTTCTTTGGAATATTTGAACTTATTAGATCAGTGGTAGAATATTTTCAGTGTAAACCCAAGGATTTCTTACCAGTGGAAACCATGTGACGGTAGAGTGTGCATAAATACGTTATGAATGTCAGTGTTTTCTTCAGTGTAGTGTATGCAAGTGCCCGTTTCAGTGTAGGGCCTAAAGATGTTAATGTATCTTCATAGATTTGGTAAACAGTCTTCTTATGTCAGTGTAGTGCAACTGTATTGTCGCCAGGAATGAGTGGAGTGGCAGTGTATACGTGTCAGTGTAGCCTCATTATAGAGCGTTTACCTTCCTTCATTGTATCTTGTGTGTAATGCGTGCTGACCTACTCAATGGTGATTACTTGATGGAGCTCTTGGCCTGCCTCTTCACACTAGAGTATCTTGTACAGGTTTATTCGTCCACCATTTTTGGCCATATCGTGTCTTGAAGTATTGGTGGTATCTGGCTCCACCATCTCTTGGTCCAGTTTTCATTGTCCGGTCATTTGCTCGCTACTCGTGCACTAAATGTATATTTCCTAGTACAGTATCTCTCTTGCGCACCTGCGCTTATAATTTCTACATATGGCCTTATGTTCTTGATTGTTTTTTGTTTTTTTTTTTACCAGAAACAGTCATTATTTGGTTACATTGTCCCTCATTGTCTTGTTCGTCAAAAATGTGTGGTGGTGTAGGGGGTCGGACAGGGAATGTGTGTGGTCAACCCGTGCATCTAATAGAGCGTCGCATTTTGCTGTCTACTTTACCAAGGCCAAAAATTGTCGTACTAGAAAATGGAAGCGGCTCCCGAAAGTAACACTGTCCCGTTTTCTGTTTTGGGTCCTCTGGTAGGTTAGGATAAGGGCACCTTTGTACGACAGTTTCTTGACGTTGGGAAAGCTTAGGAGGACGAGCTGCAAGGATAGGTAAGTACTTAAATAGAGATAACACTGGTTATTGACAGAAGATTCAGTGACCACGGGGTTGCTGCGCCACCGTAGAAGAGTCGTAGGTTACCGGAAGGAGGCGGAGCGTGTGAGGTGTGTGCACACTGTGTATGTAGAGCAGGGCGAGACGCTTGACTAGTGGAGGAATACTATTGTGTGCAGCTTCCCCACACAGGCAGTGGAACACCTTGTAGAGTGTCTTAGTGTAAAGTATAGTGGGTATCCCTCTAGTTTCAGAGTGGCTCTAATTTGATGAGCAGCAAATGTTCCTGTAGCAGAAATGTGAACATTACACTGACATCAGCCACACTATACTGACACCTGCTAGTGTGACTGGTGTCAATGTAGCTGATGTAAGTGTGTGTGGTTGATGTCAGTGTAGCTGGTGTCAGTGTAGCGAGTGTTCCTTACAGTGACGGTGCAGGAGGACGAGGACGGGTACCTGGTATCAAGATTGCCTGACGGTTCCCTGGTATACCAGTCGTCCCCCGCCCACGCCCGTGCTGCCGCCCGCCCACCGCCCAATGTGTGTGACTACCGTGCACGCTCTTACTTCTCACACGCACTCAATAACCACCAATCATGTGCTCGTAGTCTGTTTCACATTGTGTTCTCTAAACGATCACCACACACACACACCTGTCTGCACAAGTATATATATCAGGGGGTTTCGATGGTTAATTATTTTGTATTGACGCTATAAAAACTTATTCTTTAAAAAAACTGCGAGTTTTATGTTTGGTTAACCCCGTTAAACTACTTGTTAATAATACGATAAGAGTTTTCCATTTTTATTTTGAGTTTTCTATTTTGTATATAACAAAAAAACATCACGATAAAATTTTGCTGCGTTACATCATAGCTTGATTGAGCATTTTTTCTGGTTAAATCAAATAAGTCTACAATATGCGTGGATAAATTTGTCAGTTCCTTTAATACACATTATTAAAATTAAGTTTGTGATTAAAATCGTATTTTAAATTTCATTCCCTATGGCATACTAAACATTAAATATATTAAAGATTTAGCATGTTGATTTAGCACCCGATTTAAAGACAGTCTTGAAAACTTAGAAATGTCAGTCATGGAAAAAACTTGAGAGATCACCGGTGACACAATGAAGCAAAATGGTGTCACAATTCTGAGTAAATCAAACATGAACATAAATACATATTGTGGTTTGTTTACATATGAGGAGCACTAATTGCACATTTGTATATAACACACACCTGTAAATCCTCTAACAGGGGCGAATAAACTCTATAGAGTAAATAGTAATGTCATGCTGATTCTCTTTAAAAACTTTATGGATTTGTTTTAGTTTTATTGTGAGACTAATATATTCTTGTGGCATCCTATTTACTTTTTCTACACACAAGGAACAAAACTGTTCGAACATACATGTGTGGTTGGGTGTATGTGTTCAGAATTACAGGTGAGCAATCTAGTAGCCTAGTGTGGGGTTGAACTGCCGGTATATTAGGATCTCTGTGGGTTGCACCATGACGCTATTGGCCTCAGGTCCAAACAAATACGTAGAACCAGGACGCAGAAGAAAAGACAACGGTAAAAAAGGGACATGGAAGAGCTGGTTAGGTTAGGTTAAATATACTTAATAAAACACTATCAGGTACCTTAGCACCTTAAGGAAATGTGCTTCCATATATAAACTCTGAATTGAGGTAGAACGGGAGGCTCCAGAGACCCAGTGGAGTTTATCTTACAAAGCAAACTAATTAAATAGTTTAGAAATTCAATAGAAAGTAATATTTATATTTTTGTCTTATCAAATCTGCCTTAATGACTATGGGCTCAGGTGTTGGTGGTATTGATTTAGGGGACCGTGACGGCAGAGGTGCCGTATACTCCCCGGCATACCCTTGAAGGGTAAATCACAAAGCCGTACGGTTAAATGAATGTCACCTGTCGGCAAAAACGAATGGGCCTTGCGGCGAATACACTCTGGTGGGTAGATGATTGGGGAATCCCAGGACTCCCGCTGGGAGGCAAACACTGGCCCTCACCCCACACAGAGAAACACTGGGTACTCTAGGCCAAAAAACAGCCCCTCCTAAACTTGTATCATTTGTGCAAAAAAAGTTTTTCAGTGCTGGAGCCCATAAAGACCCGCCAACCACTAACACCTCTCGGCCGAGCCGAAGCCGGACATAGTCTTCCCGCTTAAAGAACCAGTCTGAAAACGTTTAAAATCGATCAACTTCCTTGTAATCCCAGGCGCTAGGGGTCGTAACAATCCAGACCGTTGAACAGAAATGCCTGACGGCAGTATCGTGACCGAAAGAATAAAATCGCGTCACGTGTTCTGGTGGGCCGCAGACGGAGCAGTTGTCCAGACATCCGCTGGTCGTCACGGTTGAACCAGGAGTCCCAAGGGCTCAGGTGATGTGTACACTTTTTTTTCGTCAACAGCACAAAAGAACACACGTCACAGTTTTCTCAGAAATAAGCACGTTATGCTAATTTTCAGATGTATTTCCATCATAGTAATTAGATATCTATATGTGTTTACCCAGTTAGGGCCAGAAAGCTCTTTATAACTGACTTGGCAGGAGCAAACCCATGTTCATCCGGTTACTAGACAGATTCAACGGTGCTTGCCCTAACGGACTGAGTGACGAACACATCACCGACAATTCCACGTCATTTGGGGGTATTTTGTAGAACATTTTGAATGCATAAACAGTTATGCAATATAATTAACAAATATAATATTAACAAAATTTACACTTGATTGTTTTAATCATTTAACTGATTTTGAAGTTGCCGATGATTACACTACAAGAAACATAATTTTCCATGTTTTGACTTGCAGTAACAGTAACTGATGTATATAATGAAATAATCAACACTGATTGGTACAGCTAACGATTCTTATGTGTGGATTTCTTTTATTTTAGAAATACGATGGGTCTCTTGGATGACAAGGGATTCCATTGGAAGATATTTGTCATGTTTTGGCTGTGCAGGATCCAGCAGATGGTACTAATCTATTTATCTTCTATGCTACTAAAACCTCAACATACATGACATTTCTTTCGGCATTTTGTCCTAAAACTCTACTGGATTGTTACGTTTTTGGTCCTGTTTAAATTAAAACGTCAACCAAAATTCTAACACCGGTAATGGGGGATGATAATCAGGATAATAAATTTGAGTATCTTTTAGTGTACTATACCAGAAGAGCAACGGAAAGTAGAGTTTACCCTTGCGTGAGTGAGGGGTTGAGTGTGTGTTGTGGGGACTCGCCTGCATGCTGCTCAATGATGGTTATGTGAATGGCGACACATTTTGTGTAGGTAGCGTCCTGCATGACCATGTGTTACTGCATGTTTCCTCTCTTTTTCAGTTTCTCAGGGTGAGGCATCTGGCCGGGGTAATAGATCCAGGCCAACATAGTGTCTGTGTTGCCACTTAACCCTGTATAATTGTACGAGCGGTATATACACACATCACATGTTTTTACTATTAATAAGGGCATACATAATGTATACATACACATTGCTTTGTGAAGTTTTAAAGCACATACACATTGCTTCGGAAAGGTTTACCTTAAAATTATAGCATTTTTGAGATAATGCAACAGTGATTGTACATAGTTTTAACTGTTATGGGCTCAACAAGGTTTTAGTCATCAGTAGTTAAATAAAATCTTAAATGGTTATGATAATGACGCCTGATTGATAATGGTTAGATAATACTAAATCCTTAAAGGTTGCAGTGAAAAATGTTTTAATCCTTATTAACTGGATAAGATTTAAACATCTGTTGTGATTAAGATCTAATTATAAATGGTCGGATAATATATTAATAAATATTGGTTGGATACGCTCTAATTGTTAATGGATGAAATTAAATTTTGAATTGAATAAAAATCTTCATTATTAATAATTATACACCATTATAATTGATTATAGTTAGATAATATTTCAGTTGTTAATAATTATATAACATCTAATTATGGTGAATTAATGAATGCTATCTAATAGCTAATGTGTGAAAGAAACATACATAGTGACTGATGGTTGGCTCTGAAGTCTTCTCCAGTGACTCGTTAACACCTAAATGACAATTTCATCTGTATATAAATGTACTGTAATGAAAACAAATTGGAATCAGATATGTTTAAATACGCATCTTGTGTATTTCATAGGAGAATTAATTGATCACCTTTGTCTCATATTACTTTAAATATGATAAATTTTGACAATTTTTTAGACAGGTGTACACCTATAATGTAAAGGTGTTCATTATTTGAACACATGTACAAAATAATCTTCACTCTACTTAAACACTTGCTGTTAAAACTATTGTTATTATATATGGTTCCTTAGTCCACTAATTTGTAACACCATCATAATTTTCAAAAGAAATACGTTCCTTTTTATACATCATATCCGAAATATTTATTCAGCTCTTTAAAATATTTAAAACATTAATGTGAAAAATATAAGACGACTAAATGTGGAATACTATATATATATATATATATATATATATATATATATATATATATATATATATATATATATATATATATATATATATATATATATATATATATATATATGCTTTAAAAGACTGTGAAACTAACAACTGGTACTTTCTTTTTTTCTTTTTCAGGTAAGCTACCAGTTAGACGAGACAGCCTATAACCCTGGCCTGGTCTCGTCTACGTCACATTCTAGTCCCAGTAGACCTCAGTTGGAGAAGACTGTAGTCACTTATGTAAATAACACACTTAACAAATTTAGGACAAGCATCGGCAATAGCACTAGTGAAAACACTAACCAATCATCTGTCCACAGTGACTTTCTTAGTGCACAATATATAACTGAAAAATATAATGTTCTCGAGTCAAACAATAAAGTAAGCAATCGGAAGAGTGGAAGCGAAACACAAGAGTTAGGCTTGCATCACTTTGCAGCGATGGCCAGGAGCGAGGAGTCTTCTCTCCAGGAAGCTGAGCGGAAACACACGCCACAAGAGACTGGAAGACAAGTGGAGACACATCCAGACAATGCCGCATACACTCAAGTGCACAAGGAACCGGATAATGTTGTTGGCGCAGGCGAAAATTTAATACAGGAAATTCACATATTAAGAGACCCAGAAGGGAACCAGACAGGTGACACTCAAGAGAAAAGACAGAGACGGCTGTCAAAAATACTACAACGAAGACAGGAAATAATGGATACTTATAACAGGCAAAATGATGGGACTTATAAGCCTGGTTGTACAAGCAAGTGTGGAAACCAATCTGGACATAAAGAAACCAACAAGAAAATGGGTCAGACAAGGAGTGATGGATCTTATGTCAATTATGATGATGATGATGAGGACATCAAAAATCTAATAAAAATCCTCCATGATGCTCAAGAAACCATCAAGAAATTTCAAATGGACTTTCAGCCTCAGGGCATCTCCAAACATAGTAACACATCATCAAGAATTTGGCCGCTGCTAGTACCCGGTCCCATAGGAAAAGACACGCAGTTTCATGCAACACCAGAAAGAATCACTCTTAATGAAACAAACAATGCAAATTCATCCGAAACATTCGCTCACGTTTTGGAAAAACATTCAGTTATACCAGCCAAGGTTTACACAGACGAAGAGCCTTCTGAAGAAATCCCTCCATACTGACATCACTGAGACACCAATAATAAGGCCTCAGGTGCTGAGGAGGGAAGGTATATTATAAAAGTAAAAAAGGCAAAAGGTCTGAGAAAGTGACGAGACATCAATGAGAAAACAGAGAAAATAGGAATAAGTAGATTGCCTGGCTGTATCTTTTAATATATCACAATTAATAATACATGTAAATAAATAAATATATCTAAATTAATGTCAAAATCAAAATTTCCTTTATATATGTTGTACCTGATAGCCCAAACTGCACTACTTGGCCTAGTAAGCAAGGCCCAATTTGCCTAACAAGCAGTGATTTTGTTATTTTTAAATATTTCTTTCCAAATTGGTTTATTCCAATTAATATTATTATAGTATATTAAAAACATGATGTGTTAAGATTGGTTAGGTTAGGATAGATTAAGTAGATTAGAATTGATTAGGATATGATTGGTTAGGAAAGGCTAGGTTAGGTATGTTAGGGTAGGATAAGTTAGGTAGGTTAGGTTAAGTACGTTAGGTTTGATCAAATATCTATGATAGTTTTAAATCAAATTAAAAAAAATTGAAATTATATACTGTATATGAAAAATGGAAAGCTTTATAACTCCATAAGAAAAAAAATGAAAAGTATATAATTTCAGGAAAACTCTGCCTGTTAGCTAACTTGGCCTGCTAGGTACGACATTTTATATATATATATATATATATATATATATATATATATATATATATATATATATATATGTCGTACCTAGTAGCCAGAACTCACTTCTCAGCCTACTATTCAAGGCCCGATTTGCCTAATAAGCCAAGTTTTCCTGAATTAATATATTTACTATAGTTTTTTTCTTATGAAATGATAAAGCTACCCTTTTCTCTATGTATGAGGTCAATTTTTTTTTATTGGAGTTAAAATTAACGTAGATATATGACCGAACCTAACCAACCCTACCTAACCTAACCTAACCTATATTTATAGGTAAGGTTAGGTTAGGTAGCCAAAAAAAGCTAGGTTAGGTTAGGTTAGGTAGGTTAGGTAGACGAAAAAACATTAATTCATGAAAACTTGGCTTATTAGGCAAATCGGGCCTTGAATAGTAGGCTGAGAAGTGCGTTCTGGCTATTAGGTACGACATATATATATATATATATATATATATATATATATGTCGTACCTAGTAGCCAGAACTCACTTCTCAGCCTACTATGCAAGGCCCAATTTGCCTAATAAGCCAAGTTTTACTGAATTAATATATTTTCTCTAATTTTTTTCTTATGAAATGATAAAACTACCCATTTCATTATGTATGAGGTCAATTTTTTTTTATTGGAGTTAAAATTAACGAAAATATATGACCGAACCTAACCAACCCTACCTAACCTAACCTAACCTATCTTTATAGGTTAGGTTAGGTTAGGTAGCCGAAAACGTTAGGTTAGGTTAGGTTAGGTAGGTTAGGTAGTCGAAAAAACATTAATTCATGAAAACTAGGCTTATTAGGCAAATCGGGCCTTGCATAGTAGGCTAAGAAGTGAGTTCTGGCTACTAGGTACGACATATATATATATATATATATATATATATATATATATATATATATATATATATATATATATATATATATATATATATATATATATTTATATAGATATATATAGATATATAGATATATGCGAACAAGCCTGAATATAGATATATATCAAATTTAGACACACCCACCAGGGACTCAAACCTAGCCAACACAGTTGCTTCCCAACAACTGGCATAACTTAGTGCGCCTTAACCCACTCCACCAAACTCAGACCCTTAAAAGGGATGGAAATTTTGAGGTATTTAAGCCCCAAATATCTCCCCCCCCCCCCCAAGAGCACTAGAGAATGGTGAGAGGTCACTCACGTTTTTCATCAAGCCCCTGCTTTAAATGGGAGAACTCGTGCCTTATTTAAAGCAGGAGCTTGATGAAAAATGTGAGTGACCTCTCACCTCTCTCTAGTGCTCTTGGGGGTGGAGATATTTGGGGCTTAAATACCTTGAAATTTCCATCCCTTTTAAGGGTCTGAGTTTGGTGGAGTGGGTTAAGGCGACTAAGTTATGCCAGTTGTTGGGAAGCAACTGTGCTAGCTGGGTTCGAGTCCCTGGTGGGTGTGTCTAAAGTTGATTAACTTCACTTGCGAGTTTAAGCAAGTCTATGTGCATATTTATATATATATATATATATATATATATATATATATATATATATATATATATATATATATATATATATATATATATATATATATATATATATATATATATAATATGTAATGTGTGTGTGTGTGTGTAAATCACGAAAATAAACGTGTGATTAAAAATGTGACAGTGTCAGACCATGGAGGAAAATTGAAACAGGAATTTCCCTAAGTACTTTCGTATATTAATATTTGACTCCTTCTGAAGATGTATTAATATACGAAAGTACTTAAGGAAATTCCTGTTTCAATTTTCCTCCGTGGTCTGACACTAACATTTTTAATCACACGTTTATTTTCGTGATTTACACACACACACAATTACATATTTATATATATATATATATATATATATATATATATATATATATATATATATATATATATATATATATATATATATATATTATTTATATATATATATATATATATATATATATATATATATATATATATATATATATATATATATATATATATATATATATATATATATATATATATAAACTTTGTACGATTTATTAAATATTGTTAACTGTACATGAAAGCGCTTAAGAAATTTTCAGATTATATTTTGGTAATTTGTTAGTTTTCATCACGGTTAATTTTTTGTTATACTCACGTGGGAAATATTTGTGTATACTTTGAAATTATATGAAATTCTTCATATATATATGTACTGTAAATAAATTATATTGATAGCACTGTTTTGCAGCAAACGTGTTGTGTACAGTATGTAAATTGCAGTTTGTGAAAATGATTATTGTTATGGAGTGTTGAAAGAGAGAACCTGGAGGAGTGAGGAGACAAGATGTGCGGTGCTAACATGGTTGTGAAGGCGAGTGCTACTTCTTGCTCAGTGACAGTCACGCACCGCCCAACTACTGACATATGACAAGGATAGTGACAAACCAGGGTGATAAAACTGTTAATTAGTAGTGAATACGTCTATGTATTTGAGTCAAACTTGTTGTTTGGTTCGTTTGATGATGACATGTCGTGTAATAAGTGTGGTGTTGATTTAATAATAGATACAGCGAAGGACATATTGGAAAATTGGGAATACTTTTACCAAAATTCTTGATGACAATAAAATTAATCTTCATCTGATTTTTTATAATAATATAATCATCAGTGGCCTGGTTGTTGTGATTTTTTTTCTTAAAAAAAGGACTCGGTGATGATGGCCACTGAAGATTTTCTCACTTTTATGTTTTCTGTTGTAGATTATGTAAATAACTACCATGTGTAATTCTACTGTAGTTGTTATGACTACATACTAATGTGTACTATGTACAATCTACAAAGTTATGATCTTGTGAAATACACTGCCATTGATCCTATTGCAACCTTTTGTATTGTATGCCTGCGTATTATGGTCACATTTGTTGATCATTAAAAATATACACTTATTGCTCTGTGTTTTCTGGACAAAATAAGAAAAGGCTTGTTAATATAATGTATATTTATATGAATTCTTTTTTAGATAATTTTATGTACATTGCAAAATAACTACATTATAGTAATCAAAGATATAGGTGACCATTTTCACTAATGAGTTGATAGTGATTGTGAGTGTGCATGTATATGCGTCCATGTGTGCATGCGTATGCGTCCATGTGTGCATGTAATTACCTAAGTGTAGTTACAGGTGAGAGCTACGCTCGTGGTGTCCCGTCTTCCCAGCATTCTTTGTCGGATAACGATTTGAAATTACTGACGGTTTGGCTTCCACCATCTTCCCACCTAACTTCTTCCAACTGTCTACCAATCTGTTTGCGAAAGTGAATTTTCTTATATTTCTTCGGCAGCTTTGTTTAGTTTAAATCTATGACCTCTTGTTCTTGAAATTCCAGGTCTCAGGAATTTTCCCTATCAGTTTATCGATTCCTGTTACTATTTTGTATGTAGTAATCATATCGCCTCTTTTTCTTCTATCTTCTAGTTTTGGCATATTGAATTCCTCTAACCTCTCCTCGTAGCTCTTGTCCTTCAGTTCTGGGAGCCACTTAATGGCATGTCTTTGCACCTTTTCCAGTTTATTGATGTGCCTAACATCAACAACCAAAATAATATGTGCCTAACATTATTTACACATAATTAAATGTGTACTCGTTCGTGTGTGCGTAATTAACAAAGTGTAATTACAAGATGAGTTACGCTCGTGGTGTCCAGTCTTCACAGTAATCTGTCATATGACGCTGAAACTGCTGATGGTTTTAGCATCCTATGTTGATTCCATTTTTTGTTCTCTAGCCTTCTCACAATTTTTGTTGAACCAGCCTTGTTTTCTAATTTTTTTTTTTACCCCTCGTCAGATCTCACAAATTTGGCATATATCCCATTTACTGCCTTGCCTAACAAACCATGCTTATCAAAACCATTAAAGAACTAAGAGCCCAGTAGTGTCTTCTCTTGACATCGTGTTTCTCTGTTGTGTCGCCTTCACCATTTTCTTTTAGATTATTATGTACATTATTTCATTTTCAAATATACATGGTTGGTCTTACCTAGTGGAGGCAGGAACACCCCTCCGTCATTCTCTATAGGTGTTTAACGTACTCATATATAAATGTCTTCAGGGTGAGGTTCATGAATCAGATGGTACAAATGTCTTGTGTCCTGGCCCGCCAGGTCTCTATATTTCAAATTAGTCACCATGTGCCAGCAAACGTGCTTTTTCTCTTATCTGGTTTGCTGTCTTTTTTTTATTTCTTCCTTTGTCCTTGCGTTATTTGCTGGACTGTAAAAAATAATGATTAAGTATGTCTATCCACATCTATAACATCACATATGGCAAATGTCCAGTGCCGCTATATCCACATCTCATAGGTTGTCAAGTGTTAATTCTTCTACGTTAAGCTTTTCTATTACTTGCACCGCGATGCCTCCATCTTTTCTATTTTTCTATCACGTCTCCAACCTGAGCAGGTCTTTGGGAATGCCACTTCATTTTAAAAAAATCTGTAATAATTTTGCAGACGAGGAGTCACAATAACGTTGCTGAAAAATGTTGACCAAACCACACACTAGAAAATGAAAGAACGACGACGTTTCGCTCCGTCCTGGATCATTCTCAAGTCGATTGTTTTCTGCCAACTTGACAATATCGGGTATTTTCAGCTTATTATATCGTCTAACTCAAGTATTTATTTTTATTTTGCTCCATCTGTTATGTTCCATTTCACCGGCTTTCCGCTTCATATCACCTAATGGAAAATATAAATCTTGCTCATTTCTGTCCTCATTTAGACGTTTTGTTTCATCGAGGTTCTGTTTCAGTTTTTTTTCCTTTGCTAGGTCTCTTCTTAATATCCACAGTTTTCCATCCTCATCACTTAATAATTTTCTAGCATTCCTGAGCACTTTCGTTGTTATAGCTCAATTTAGGATCACCTATAAGACAATTTGTTTGCCTTTCTCATGCCTACCAATTCTTCATTGTCCACATCCTTGGTTGTAACGCTTTGCATTAACCCAAATAACGTTAT